AAAAAAGTTAGGGTAGGATGCTCTGAACAAAGGTTTCATGTCTGTTTGTCTGATTAAATCAACAAGCTGGCATCGCTCCAGCCACTACCGTTGATGGAGAGCATTCTGTTTCAAAAAAATGTTATTCTAGGGCTCTGCTGCCGATATACTAAATGTCACTTCTCCACCTATGTCAGAGGGCAGTCATATCAGGACGAAGAGAGAAGTTCACGAACAGAACTCAATTATAGGTTTATTCCAATGTTCCTTATCTTCCTTATCTGCAAGAAAAATTTAGAAAGCCAAAATTGCTTAGGTTTTATTGCTGTACTTGTTGCTTGCTGTATGTCTGGTTTTGCTGGGATCTACTTTGAAAAGATTCTAAAAGGATCGAGTGTTTCCATATGGATTCGAAATATCCAATTGGCTCTTCCCTCAATATTCTTTGCCTTATTATTTGCCTTTGTAAGTATACCGCTCTTCTTCTTCCGGAAGTTCTCTGCTTTTACCCAAATCGGTTTAGGTTAAAGACAATAATGAGATCTTTGCTGATGGTGCTGCTCCTTCTGCTGTTTGGAATCGAATGCTACATGGATTTGATTGGGCTGTATGGGTTACCATAGGAATTTCCGCATTTGGTGGTCTTGTGGTGGCCGTTGTGATCAAGTTTGCAGATAATATTTTAAAGGTACATCTGGAAATTTTATGTAAAACAACAAAACTTTTTTTGCTTGTAAATTTTAAATTTTTCAGGCCTTTGCTACCTCATTTGCCATTGTCCTAAACTGTATTCTTGCCTATTTCCTATTCAATTTCCGACCAACGATGTTTTTCGTTGTGGGAGCATGTTTTGTCATTGGAGCAGTGTTCGTTTACAGCATATATCCATACCGGTAGGTCGTAAATCTTTATTTTCCCTTTTTTGCTATTGTTGGGATGTGAGCCCCTGCTAGTATCAAAATCAACATGAGTCAACTGCGATGTGGTAACATGATAGGTTTGTAGACACATTAGAGACCAGTATCTCATTACAATGTGACGTCTGTTAGAAAAATAGAACTTGTGAGCCGCAAAAATTTTCCCTTTTTCTGTGATCATGATAGCCAAAAGATGCTTTTGGTTTCCTATCTCGATTTTTTTTGTATTTAAAGAACTTAATTTCTGCGATCTGCGACTTTTCGCGTGTGACTTTTTCTACCAACTAGTATCAGACCTCTTTCTTTTTATTATTGTAGTTTGAGAGATGCCGTATTTGTTTATTTTTGCTTGCTGCTAAACAACAAGGAGAAAGAGCCAAGCGAGAACAAGCCAATATGTGGTTTGTGGAGCAATTTGAGTGTTAGCTTCTAGCTTGG